GGAGCATTGTCTTCCGGGTATTCAGGCTACACGTGGGATGCGCACGTGGGGCATACACGTTATACAGACTATAGAGACTAGGAGACTATAATGTTTCACGTTGGTCGCGGCCACGTACTTCACAACGATCTATGCATGAGCCGTGCGCCCTGCAGCTTTCGCGGGCGCGCTTTAACGGTACCAAATTGTCCAACAGGTTTCTCCTGGCGTTCTCTCTCCCTCTCTCTCTCTCTCTCTCTCTCTCTCTCTCTCTCTCTCTCTCTCTCTCTCTCTCTCTCTCTCTCTCTCTCTCTCTCTCTCTCTCTCTCTCTCTCTCTCTCTCTCTCTCTCTCTCTCTCTCTCTCTCTCCCTCTCTCTCTCTCTCTCTCTCTCTCTCCTCTCTCTCTCTCTCTCTCTCTCTCTCTCTCTCTCTCTCTCTCTCCCCTCTCCTCTCACTCCCATCCCCACCACACACACACAAACGTGGTGCTTGCTCGCGCTGCCGCAGCACGCGCCGCCTGACGCAGGTGGTGCGGCCATGGCCGTTTTGCAGGCTGCCTACACGGCTGGGAGTACGACAAGTCGAGCTGGCGTCGCACGGCCGCCACCGACTTCGACTGGGTGTGCGGGGACAGCGCCAATCCCACCACCGTGCTCACCATCAACAGCGTCGGCAGCGTGGTCGGCACGCTTGTCTACGGCATACTGGCCGACTTGTGAGGCTCGCCGCGGCTACGGGTGGGGGAGGGGCGGGGGAGGGACATCAGGCTATCAGTGCGGGCTAACCAACCTGAGCTAAGGCAGCACTCGCCTCAACCTCACCGCCTGACGACCTAGTTCCGATGGTAGCCAACATGACCTCGGACGACAACTGATTTGACCCCAGCGACGACGATCTAACCTCGACGGCAATCGACAGTGCGACGGAGGCAGACGATCTAACTCAGTAACGGTCAACTCAAATCACCGGCAGTCGATAATCACCGGCAGTCCATAATCACCGGCAGTCGATCAAAGCTCGACAGCTGCCGATCTGACCTGATAGTCAGAAGACCAGACCCTGCCACAGTCAACCTCATCCTCAGCCGTAGACGACCTAACCTTGATCCATCCTCGGCGGAAGAGGACAGACAACAGCAGGCCTATCCTGAGCGGCAGCCTTTACCTAACCTCGACGACAGCCGACCTATCCTCGGCAGAAGACGACAGACAACAGCAGATCTTTCTTGAGCGGCAGCCTTTACCCAACCTCGACGACAGCCGACCTATCCTCGGCAGAGGACGACAGACAACATCAGATCTTTCTTGAGCGGTGGCCATCGCTGACCTTTGCGATCACTCGTGATCTCAGCCTTGCCGTGCGATGGCCGTTCTGGCACAGGACTGTCACAGTCGACCGCAAACGGGCTACAGGCGCCCAGCAAGACCTTGCGCTGGACACTATCTGCATCACCTATATTCATACACGACGTTGTTGCATACTTGTTTGCTATTCTTTATAACACCAGCGCATTGTATTCGAGTCAAGGTTGCCTCTCTGCACTATGGATTTCAATGCTGTGCTTTCTTGTACGGTGCTCTCCCGTTTGGTGCTCTCCTGTGTACTACGGTCTTTGCCACTGTGTTCATGAGACCATTTGCCCCCACCCCGATAATGGAAGACGTGAGTTCTTCTTGCCGCCAGGATCGGGAGGAAGCCCATATTCTTCCTCAGTTTTTCTTGCCGCCAGGATCGGGAGGAAGCCCATATTCTTCCTCAATATAGCAATATTCCTGATCGGCGGCATCATCAACATCTTCGCTCCGACGTTCCTCGTGTTCGTTACGTCGAGAGCGATAGCTCAGACAACATTTCCGTCCCTCTACAACACCTTCTTCACTCTCGGTAAGATGCGCGAGTGTAACTACTCTGGGGTAGCAGTGGGATGTGAGCTTGGAGCTTCTCATGAGGTGTAAGCTGTCGAGAGAACCTCACTCCAGAGCGAGCTAGGTGTAAGCTGTCGAGAGAACCTCACTCCAGAGCGAGTTACAGGGTGGCCTTACAATAGTCTCCCCGGAGAAGTCTGCACATTTTCGCAGGCGTGTATCTCAGAAACTTGATGTAGTCAGGTTTTTAGGAGGGCAGGGATGTGACCTGCACCGAATGACCTTAAAGATGCCCATTTAAGTTCAAAACTCATTCAAATGTGAAACACTCCCTGAAGGATTATATGTGACTTGTGCACAAAAAGCAACTGCGAGCACGTTCACAGTGCAAAGTAAACCAAGGCCGCGCACGGCCATGGCTCATGACAGATGGCGTACTGACGTGTTTCATTTCCATTCATGACGTACTACGTTCCCATTCATGACGTACTACATTCTCATTCATGACTTACCACATCTCCAGAAACGTTGAAGTCGCTTTGATGTGGGAACTTATGAATTATTATGATAGTTAATTGCATCATGTTATGACTTAAACGCTATGGGGATCATAACCTGCCACATCGGTTAGTGTCCATGTGAGTCGGTTAAAATGCGCAGCAAAAATGGAATGTGCAGTTTTTTCACCGCAGGTCACTGTTTCATCATCTCATAATCCTTTTCCCGAGCACTACTGCATATTTTTACGCTGATGGAGACGTATATGTCTCTTTTGGGTAGCCTGAATACGGGCATTTGTGCAGACAGAATAAAATCCAAACATGATATCGTGACGTCCAACGCATCGTCTGCAAGCACTGCTGAGGACACCCTGTACCAAACCAAGCACTGCTGAGGACACCCTGTACCAAACCAAGCACTGCTGAGGACACCCTGTACCAAACCAAGCACTGCTGAGGACACCCTGTACCAAACCAAGTACTGCTGAGGACACCCTATTACCAAACCAGTAGCGCGGCGTCACGGCATCGTCTGCAAGCAATGCCTGAGGCCACCCTGTACCAAACCAAGCACTGCTGAGGACAACCGTACCAAACAAGCATCCCTGGGGACCACCCTGTGCCCAACCAAGCTAGCGCGCAGCGTCACTGTCGTCTTGCAAGCCACTGTGAGGGACACCCTGTACCAAACCAAGCTAGCGCGCAGCGTCACGGCATCGTCTGCAAGCACTGCTGAGGACACCCTGTACCAAACCAAGTACTGCTGAGGACACCCTGTACCAAACCAAGCTAGCGCGCAGCGTCACGGCATCGTCTGCAAGCACTGCTGAGGACACCCTGTACCAAACCAAGCTAGCGCACAGTGTCACGGCATCCTTCCAGGCGCAACCACCCCATTTCAGCTGTTTTGCGAGCGGTCGACCGGGCCAACAGTGAGCCTCAGCGACAGCCAATCAACAGTGAGCCTCAGCGACAGCCAATGCAGCGCTTGGCAGCGAGCGGCCGGGCCACCAGTGAGCCTTAGCGACAGCCAATGCAGCGCTGGCAGCGAGCGGCCGGGCCAACAGTGAGCATCAGCGACAGCCAATGCAGCGTTGGCAGTGAGTGGCCGGGCCAACGGTGAGCCTCAGCGACAGCCAATGCAGCGCTGGCAGCGAGCGGCCGCCTCAACACACCAGCTCTGGGCTGAGGCCGTCGGCGCGTGCCCTGTAAGCCAAAGGCGGCGTCCGGGTGCAGGAACTGTCGCGATGGGAACAACAGCCGGCGCACCAGCGGTGCCGGGTGAGGCGTCTCCGGGACGACGGCCGCCACGGCCCGGACTGGCGCGGAGTGACGTGTGTTCAGCAGGCTGGATGATTGAGGCCCACCTTGCCTTGGCGACGGGCTGTCTCAAGGGCCCGGTGCCGGCCGCCGTGTCCGCCTGTGCACGCGAAGCACCCCCCGCTGAGTGTGCAGCCATCCCCCGCAGTGAAGCTCCTGTTCTCGCCTCCCGCCGGATGGTAACGTGGCTGAGCTTCTGGGAGTCTTCAAGTATGTTTTGCCAGCCTTTGACTTTTCTTAGCATACGGAGAAAGTACGAATGGATTTAGTCTTGATGTACAGACATGCAGCCGATCTCTATTGCTGTGAATGATGTTCAAGAAGTAGATTTGGTTTCCATTGCAAGAGAGTAAACATGTCCATGCATGCAACGCGTGACACGGTGGTGTATTGCGCGTCTGCGAAGCGCAGCGTAAATTCTTTGGGCTACCAGCCCAGCTTTCTGGACGATGGCGTATCTAGGGAGATATGAACCTGAAAGAACATCTTTGTTCCGATCGAGTCAGCTGATAAACCTCGTGACGACCTCTCAGCGTGGTGGAGAGACACGGCATGTGTATCCTGGCGCGAAACGACCTTAGCACTGTGTTATGTATCATTGGTGGCCTCACATTGTCATCACAGCTGAGAGGCCGTCTGGCCCCAGAATCAATAAACTTCTTCAGCGCTGGGGCTGGCTGGCAGCGCGGCGACCAAACGCAGACTATCAGCAAACCTGTGTAAATAAGCCCAGTGTCTAATGTGGGCGCCGAGGCCCATAGTTGTACAAGGTACGTAAAAAGTCTTTTGCTGGCCGAGCGGATCCATGTGCCATCATTATACCCTCTTTTCTACCCTTTTAACTCCTTCTTCTTTTCGTATGTGTGGACTGTTTTGTTCATTTGCATCATTTGCCAGTCAAGTAAAACATTAGCATTAGTATTACTCAGCCATCCTCAAACCTATACATAGGCGCCAGGAATATCTCAGGACCCAGAAAGCGGCTCATGATCTTGCATCATAAGTGAAGAAGACACATGCGCTCAGCTGCACAGTTTCAAAGCTTGCAGTGCTTAGACCTCGTGAACTGCTCTTGTACAGAATTGCACAACGAGCAAGGGCTCCTAAGCGGGCGCCGCGGCAATGGTGATGACTAGATCAAGAGCTTAACCATTTGCTTGGTATGCAGACTGTAGAAATTGGTCCTAAGTTACAGGCAGTGCCAAATGTCATCGAATACAGGTGGTACCACTAAAAACCTTAACGGAATGCATGGTCTCATGCTCATGGTATCTGTCCAGTCCATCCCGCCTACGCTTAGTAACGATGGGCCACAAAACAGCTCACTCTACCATTGATGTACGCAGCGACCGTGACGATATTCTTACCTTCTGTGTGATTATACTTGATATCGAGTGCATACTCCGGACCTATAGGCAACAGCATGTGCTTAACTAATGCGAGCATAACCATCTTCCAATTTTGACAGCCGTTAACATTCGCTCAGGTGGGGGTCAATTTGATCCCCCCGAAGGATTTTTTCCGGAATGGTTTCAGAATAGCGCGGCGTAGCCACGCCAAATTTTGCATAGCTGTAGACAATTGAATAGCAAATGGCTTTGTGTGAGACATTCATATGTACCTTGTCAGGTCACTGACCTTACAGCTGGTTAAAGTCAGGCCACGGATTCAGCGGTCAATTTCTAGGGAGTCGTTCAATCTGATGCAACAACGCAATGTGAGACGAAGTCATACATCTCTGAGATACTTTCTTAGGCAACACAACAGTTGAATGGAAAAATCCATTGACCTAGGGGTATCCATGAAGGTCAGACCAAGACCAAAACTAACCTGTTTATTGATCTAAGACTTATTGTATGATGTGGTTTATGGTGCCTTTTAAATCGATTGATAACATGAACAGCATTATGCATTTTCCATAGACTTCTGAAAGGTTAGAATAGGTCACTGGCCTACAGTGACCCAAGTTAAATTTTTTCAGGAACATACTGTGTAGCGTAATCTTTGTCGCTTATTCAAATGCGAAACGCTAAGCAGTCTTGTATGATTTTGGTCACCACAGCCTTAGAAAGGTCAAACAAGGTCACTGGCCCCTGAATTAGCATGTGACATTTTTCCTAGAACAGGTATCTAGGCTCTAGGGGCACTTTGGAGACCAACTTAGAGTTTGACCTTGTTTGAACCGAAGGTCATGACCTAGGAGCCTCAAGCTTTGACCTAAGTGAGCTCATGTACAGGCCAACACACCCCGTGAATCTGGTGTCTCTAGCTCGCTCAGTTCGTGAGACCGCAGGAGGTCCATCTGAGCCCCACCCCACGCCGAGCGAAGGGTCTCCAGCTGGCCACCCGGGCGCGTGGTGGGGCCGTGAGGCACTGCGAAACGTCGCGTCCGATTAAGTAATGAAGGCGGGCTAAAGCAGAAGTCATAATCCGCTCCTACAATCCCATGCTTGCTACGCATGTGTGTAAAACTGTGTCAGTTCCTGTTTACGGCCAATTCCATCCAAGCAGCGCTATCAACGACGTTGCCTGATATTATATCATGACCTATGCAATTCAAACCCATAACCTCTTATCGCTACAAGCGAGCATACTTTTTTAAGCGAAATTCTATTGCCCAATAGCCATTTGCATCTCACCGATTCGAATTGTTTATGTCGTTTATGTAGTCGTGTAGACGGTGAGCCGCGTTAAAGATACCTTGTCATGATGTGACGTTATGCGGGCTATACCGTTATTTGTACACTTGTAAGCTGAATGGTACGGCGGATGAAAGAAAAGACATCTTTGGCGCACAGTATTGCTCATGCAGCCAAAATGATTTTACAAAAACAGGATGTGCCTTAAAAAGCCTCATCCTTACCATTTCATCCTTACCACATCATCAACATTTCATGTAGCTGGATCTTGGCGAACACATCGAAGATCGATGTTGTGTTCAGTTGGGTAACCGGTGGTCACCTCGGCTACCCGCTGTTGACGGCGGTAGCGCCCATCCGGCGTGCGCCCTCACTGTGCACCGCTGCAGCGACCTCGCGCGCCGCCAATCGAACGTCGGTCGCTTATTGGATACGGGAAGCCACACAGCGCGCGCCCGACCCGTAGAAACGGCCATCCCACCTCCGACAAGACCATCTATCGTCCACTGTTGACTGGACGGCAGCCACCCACCTACTGACGATGCGGCGAGGTTCGCTCAATTGGTCTGCGCCGTGCTCACAACACGTGTCGAGCTTTCATTGATGGCAACAGTTAGCTCACCAAATGCAACACGGTACCGTAGTTTCAACACCGGATGCGACGGATTCATCTACATGATCAATGATGTTTTGTGGTTCCATCGATGACGGGAGTGGGCCGGCATTTATTTGACACAGTCATGCAGCTTCAGCAGGGGGGGGGGAGGGGGCAGAGACAGCCCGCTTCTCCATGTGACGCGCTCCGCGGTCTCAGCGGTTGGGTAGTGGAGGGGTCCCTGTCGACCGGTGACGCGGTCCGCGGTCTCAGCTGTTGGGTTAGTGGAGGGTCCCTGTCGGACGTGACGCGGTCCGCGGTCTCCTCAGCGGTTGGGTAGTGGAGGGGTCCCTGTCGACGTGCCGCGGTCCGCGGGTCTCAGCGGTTGGGTAGTGGCGGGGTTTCCCTGTCGACGTGACGCGGTCCGCGGTCTCAGCGGTTGGTGTAGTGAGGGGTCCCTGTCGACGTCGTTGACGCGGTCCGCGGTCTCAGCGGTTGGGTAGTGGAGGGGTCCCTGTCGACGTGACGCGCGTTTCGCTGGTCTCCGCGGTTGGGTAGTGGAGGGGTCCCTGTCGACGTGACGCGGTCCGCGGTCTCAGCGGTTGGGTAGTGGAGGGGTCCCTGTCGACGTGACGCGGTCCGCGGTCTCAGCGGTTGGGTAGTGGAGGGGTCCCTGTCGACGTGACGCGGTCCGCGGTCTCAGCGGTTGGGTAGTGGAGGGGTCCCTGTCGACGTGACGCGGTCCGCGGTCTCAGCGGTTGGGTAGTGGAGGGGTCCCTGTCGACGTGACGCGGTCCGCGGTCTCAGCGGTTGGGTAGTGGAGGGGTCCCTGTCGACGTGACGCGGTCCGCGGTCTCAGCGGTTGGGTAGTGGAGGGGTCCCTGTCGACGTGACGCGGTCCGCGGTCTCAGCGGTTGGGTAGTGGAGGGGTCCCTGTCGACGTGACGCGGTCCGCGGTCTCAGCGGTTGGGTAGTGGAGGGGTCCCTGTCGACGTGACACGACTCTCTGGCTCCCGAGGTGGCGGTGCTTTGGCCTTGTCTGCAGCGCAGCAAGCTGTGATTCATCTTGTTTCGGCATGACACGTCGTTGTCAGCAATGTATGTGGGTCGCTTGTCGTGCGGCACAACGCCACTGTCTCCATAATGTATGCGGCGAACCCACCTCTGTAGAAGCAGTTGTGCGGTTTCAGCCTTGAGATGGTTTTTCCCGTCTCTGTGTCACCTTACTATGGCTTCAACGATGGAAATCGTGCACCAAGCTCTGACACCCTGTACATACATAAACTGTTTCAGCCGTGTGGACGGTTCACCTGCCCGTTTTTGACATGTTTCTGTTGCTCCAGCTCCGAGGTGGTGGTGTCACTGCACCGCACGGCCGGCCCGGCGGTGTGGGCAAGCTCGTCTCGATTCTCTGTGCCTTTCTCTGTGTGACGCCGCACTGCCGGTCCAGGGATATAAACAGTGTACCCTTCTCTGTGTGACGCCGCACTGCCGGTCCAGGGATGTAAGCAGTGTACTCTTTGGTGCCCTTAAGCAGTGTACCCTTGTCACCTCTGTGTGACACTGCACTGCCGGTCCAGGGACATAAGCAGTGTACCCTTCTCTGTGTGACGCAGTACCGCCGTTCCGAAGGTAGAGGTTGCCGGCTCATGTCCGTGCGACGCAGCATTCTGTCTCTGCGGTGCAGGCGGTGAACCGTTCTCTAGCCAGGGGTGCGTGTGTTGCGGAGGTGACGGTGATTGACGCGTTACTGTTTGATTCTCTACTCTTGCTGTCGGTCATGCCGTCAAGCAAGCTCTCCTGCCGTCGTGTGGGGCCGTGCCATCTTCCAGACACTGAGCTGGTGTCGAAGGTCTCCGTATGGCCCGGCTCTGCTGTTCCGGTGGTGGATGTGTTGGATCTTCTCCACGCGACACTGTGCTGCTGCTCCAGCCGTGGCGCTGAGCCTTGCCCTGAGGCGTGGCGCTGAACAGTACGCTCGCCGCGTCAGCACCGCCAGCTTTGCCATCGCCGCCGGGCCGGCGGCCGGCGCCGCCCCGCGTGACACCGCGCCGCTGTTGCAGCGGTGGAGCTGGTGGGGCCGTCGCTGCGCGGACACGTGAACGCGGTGGCGTTCTTCGTGTGGACGGTGAGCATGTGCAGCCTGCCCCTGGTGGCCTGGCTGGTGGCCGACTGGCAGGTGCTCGGACTCATCACCATCGTGCCGGCCGTCGGCTTCTTCTTCATCTGGAGGTGGGCAGACGCCGTAGAGCTCGCCGGTGCGGCTGCGGAGCGCGCTGGTGCGGTTGCGGAGCGCGCTGGTGCGGCGGCGTTTCACAGGCGTTGGCCTGCACATCATCTGAAAGTTTCCGCTTGGAAGAGACCAAGCGGACTCGGTAGTCTAAGTTTTGTAAAATTGTGCAGCATTAGCTTTGTGACTGGTTCGTATTCGGTGACTTGCGATGAAAACAAAACCGAGGTCACTGGAGAAACCAGTTGCCTCTCCCGTAAACTACAGCCGGAATTGCATGCGACAAATCGGAAAGTGCATGTTTTCGAACCGTCCTGGAAGCTGGTTGGTGCTGCACGTTTTTGACACCTTCGATGTGTTTGTTTCTTAGAAAGAGCAAGGACGCAAATTGTCCGCGGTGCGCGACTTGGTTTAAGGTATCTCTTACGTGTTAGCTAAAATGATTCGACGTGGCCCATTGCGTAGCAGTGTCTGAAGTTAGATGATCAGGTCTTCGGCTTAGTCGATAACATAGAACATACTGTTAGGCATACGCAAAAATATGTTACCCACGCACAAGACAGCCGTGAGCTGTCCGTAAAACAATAACAGCTGCATGCCAAAGGCGTGTATTTGAAATAAATTTTCAAGCTTTCTGCGGTCCATAAACGGTTCTTTTAACAGTCGAGCATCAGTGAACATCCTACAAACCTCGCAGTCGAATTAAGCTGCTGCAACATATAGATCATTTCGCTATTGCATCTGATTCGGTTACCGAAGTCCGGCATATTTTTATTCCGGCTCAATACCGGCCAACCCATGGTCTGCACTAAATTGCGTGTGAACTACACAAACCTGTGAAAATCGGATTGTGTGGTCTGTCCTCATTGAAACTGCGCTATTCTCGTGTCGTCGCCACACCATGTTACCTAAGAGAAAAGCTAGTAAATCGTCAAACACGTTTCTTCTGTTTTAAATAAGCGAAGCATGTTACGCGATCGCTTACCAAAAGCCATCAGTTTGGCAGCATCGTCACGATGGTGATTCATCATTTAGACTCACTCCAAGCCTAAATTCCCTGCCCGTAATTTCTTTGCAAAACTGTGCGATGGTAAAGATACGGCGCGCCAGCACACGTTCGTTTTCGTTATGCCAATGATGCTGCATAACGCATAAACACTCCAGATGAGTATGCCAAAGTATGCGTTTGTACTTTGAAATCCTGAATGGAAGGCATGATATAAAATGTACGTTTTCTCACAATGAACGTCGTCATGAAACACTGCTTATCCCACCAGGATACCTTTCCTATATGCCCATCTTAGCAATGCCGGGAATTTCTAGAAATTTACTTTGAATTGCGCGTACTAAATCCTCCCGATCGATCACGCCACTCCTAAAAAGTAGGGAATCGCAGCTAAAGGACATTCCGTGCGACTCACGCACTACAAATTGACGCCACGTCCAACGTCGGCAGATTTAAACACTGCAAAAAGATGCGTCAATCAACTATTGCCACGCCGGGGACGGCATTTTAAAACGCCAAGGAACACTAATGGCACATACCATTTCGTTCTACCAAAAGTTAACTCAAGCATATCTCCAAGCGAATTGGCATGGCAACTCCACGTGGCACCAAAGCGTGAGCAAGACGTGATACGAAAAGTAACGCGTGTTACCTCCTGCCGCCTGCTACCTCCTGCCGCCCTCTCTGTGGTAATAAGACGAAAGGCATTGTGCGTTTGACAGCCCGATTCATTTGGGGTCTGCTTAAAGCGTGCAACATCGCAGTACGAGACTGAAACGCCTGCCCCGGTTTCTGGTCTGATTCCAGGTACATACCAGAGTCTCCGCGCTGGCTTATCAGCGTGCGAAGAAAGGCGGAGGCGAAGAAGATCCTTCAAGAGATAGCCGCCGTCAACAAGAAAGAGGTCCCGAAGGACTTAGACGCCATGTTGGAGCACCTGTCAGCTCAGATAGAGAACGAGAAAAAATACGGCATATTCAGCCTGTTTACCTACCGCCTGAGTGCGATTCGCACGGTCTTCCTCACTTTCTGCTTGTAAGTCTCCCTCGCGCGTGTTTCCATGCACGCATTGTTGTGCGTTGCCTACAATGTTGATGTGTTTCCATCATGAACCTACCATGTTGATGTGTCTCCATCACTAAGACAATACCTCCTGCCTGTCATCCTTAAAGATCGCCATGGTGACAACTTCCTCCCGGATGTTGGTAACATAACGTCTATATTATTTCACGTTCCCGATCCATCTTGGTCTGGTTAGACCCTAAAGAGTAGCGCGATGACATTTTCCCTGCCGACATAGTGCGCTCCCGTGAACTGCACTTTGTATCAAGAAGTCAGGTTGATCAAACCAGAAGGTATGATCCGTTAACAGGCCCCACGCGCCTCATACCCGCGCATGATTTATTGTCCAATCGGCGTATGCATATTGTGGGTTACGTCCTCATATTTCCCCCGTGACTGTCTTCGTATTTGGTGGCGCCGCCGCTTGTCACCGTTCACTATCGTCCCCAGCATCGGGAACATCGTCATCTACTACGCGCTGCAGATGAACGTCTCCAACATGGCCGGCAACGAGTTCCTCAACTTCTTCCTGCTGTCGGCGGTCGAGGCACCGGCCAATGTGTTCGGCTGGCTGGGTAGCGAGCACCTGGGCCGTCGTTGGACCGAGGTCTGCTCGTTCGCCGTCACCGGCGTGGCCTGCCTCACCATCATGCCACTGCTCTTCTGTGAGTGCGCTGCCGTCAGCTGGCGCCAGCGGGCTCGCTGACCGGCCCGCCGACGCCGCCGAGTCCGCTGCTGCAGGTCGAGAAGCAGGCGGTTCAGCCTGCACTGTTCTCGCTTAATTCGTTTCCAGGATATCATAACTATTATAACATTCACACATTTACTATCATAACATTTACGCATACCTATCTGCTGTACAATGGAATACCGCAAGTTTAATCTCTGCGCACCTGACTGGATGTGCCTTGTGTGCCGCAGACCCCAATCTGACCTGGCTTGTCACCACGCTGGCCATCACAGCCAAGTTCGCTATCACGGTCTCCTTCTTCGTGGTGTTCCTGCAGTCGGCTGAGATCTACCCGACGGTGCTGCGTGGCTCGGGCCAAGCGCTCGGCTCCACCATGGCCTACGCTGTCGGCATCGGCTCCCCAGCCATCATATATCTGGTGAGCGGCCCCCCGGCACCGGCTGTCACGGGCCAGTGAGTCATCAGTGAGCCAGAGTCATCATCAGGGAGAGGTATTTTAGCACCGATGTGGTAAAGGTAATTTTAGATTGCAGTGTCCAGTTGGTTGCATGCGTGAGCATCGCTGCAACTGGGGTGACACCGCTCACCCTTCCCGACAGTCGACGGCCAACCGGATCCTGCCGTACCTGATCCTGGGCATGATCGCCGTCGTCTGCGCCATCATGGCCTCCTTCTTGCCGGAAACTCTGGGCACCGACATGCCGCAGTGCGTAGAGGACACGCGCGACTTCCTCAAGGACCAGCCGTACTTCTCATTCATCACGCGGCGCTCTCTGAAGCGGCGCGAGGCCTGCACAGCCGGCAGCGGCGCGCGCCGCCGCTCCACCATGGTCGTCAGTCAGGACGGCCTCAACGGCGTCACCACCCGGTTGGCCAAGCCGGACGCCGAGTGTCACGGATAGCGGTGCGCACCGGGGACGGCGGCGGCGGCGGCGGCGGCGGCGGCGGCTGCGCGACAGCCGTCCCCGCCGCCGCCGCCGCCGGCGCGCGCCCCGGCCTCGCCCTCCCCCCAGCGCCAGCAGCAGGAGGTGCTGCTGTGACCAGTGTCACAGGCGGTGCTGCGTACCCCGCCGGCCCCAGCCTGGCTGCGGACCCTGACCGTCACCGATGGCGGCAGACGGACGCAGGACGTCTCCTCGCGTGCGCGCTGCTTATCGCTGATAGAAGGGCTGGTATGCTAGCTGTGGCTCCCTTCCACGATCTTATTGTCATTTGTTGCATCCACCTAAAACTGGCATGAACGGCTCCATATATTAATGAACAGCATATACTCACGTGCCAACTGTTTTCTGTTCTGCTATTATTTCATCATGCATATGACAGCTATTCTGATTTGGCACACAGTAAATGAACCGGTCTCTTGTTGCGATAGCATAGTGTTCCGTTGTAAATCATGCTTAATTTCACAGACCTAACCTTTCACAAACCACGACGACGTGCTGAAGTGCACGAGGCATTGTACAGCACAGAGAGACTTTCTGACGTGATGTGACCCAATGACCGGTTCAAAGAGCTTGCGTTGTTCTCGGGCTCGTGCCTGAAACGACCCAACAGGAGTTTTGGAATCTCCCCATTCGAACTGATCGCTTATCGGTCACGACTGGGGTGTCCTGGGGCTCCTTTTATGTGTTTTGGCCCATGAGACCAGACGTTCTCTGTGCATACGACATGACCAGCCCTGCTCACAAGCGCCGTCTTATTTCGCAGCTGGCCGCCAAGAATTAATCCTGACAGACAGGGAACGGGCACAGCAAACGATTTACAGATGGGTGGGAACTTCAGATGCCTGACCAAAATGGCCCAGTTTGGTTGGAGGTAACGGGTGGTACTGACGTTGACGCGGGGAGCCAATCTGCTACTCGTTAAATAACTTCGAGGCGTCGAAAATGCGTCTCTGCGATTGAACAATCTTTTTGACCAAAAAAATGTCATTTGCGTTTCCACCCGGCCACCAAGCAGGACATCATGTGGTGGCTGGGACACAATTTTTTGTCGCTTCGGTATAGTGTGGGCGGTCATCGTTTTCCATTGTTGAATCCAATGGGCATCTGCGCCGAACACCGCTAGAAGACAAGTCTTGACTAAACACGCCTTCCATGCCCACCGCGAGCACATCGACTTGCTCGGCTCGTGTGAATGTCAAGCCCGTCGCAGTCTTCTGGAGGGGCGAGTTGGCTTACGTCTGTAATGTGTGAAGCAAAGTTGCGTCACGTTCGTGTCTTGAATGGCACGGCGAGTAAAAATGAGTATATGGCGATCACAAATGAACGAAGTACTTACTCCGGGGATTCTCGGTTGATAGTGTGTAGTGTCTAGTTGTAAGGCTTAACATTCTTGTGAGTGCCCTTATGCTGTCCGCGGCCTATATGGCGCGCGTTATGTAGCAGGTTGAGTGCATACTGTTTGGGTGTGGCTGCAGACCGCTCCGTGCGCTGCTGTTACGGTAACAATTCATTACAACCTGCTGTACGTTTGTTCGTACGTACGCATGTGCTGTGGTTATTTTCGTATGTGGTCCATTCGAGCAGGTCGTACCATAGAACTTAGAAGAATCGTGTATGATACGCGGCTTGGAGCGAGCAGGCACACCAGTCTGTAAGGTTAAGCACTGTCGGCTGGACGGTCGGCAGATGATGACCGTGGCAGTGTTGTCCGTGGGTTGACAGTACCCGTATGTGGGATCATGCATACCAGCCACGGAGTACCCAGCCCCGGCGACTGAGTGCGTTCGTGCTGCAAAAACCGGCAACAGCTGAACACGTGCTTCCAGAGACTAGCACCAAGCCTCTAAAGTGTTGTGGTATCCAACTCCAGCTCACAAAGCTGATGCCAGGGTAAAATATTGCACAGGAACGGGAGATAAGGTGACTCCCAACATGCAATCCAGGCTCTTGTTTGTTGAAGTATAGCGCTGTCGTTCGTCAGGCGCAGGTATGTGGTTCGAATCCACTCCTGGGAGGCCAACCAATCATCGAGGCCACGCCTGGTAGGCCAACCAATCATCGAACGGGTGGGCTCGAGCGCGATGCTGTGTGGGGCCTGGAGGCACACCGACCAGTTAGCGGCTAAACCGCCGAAGCGGTTAATTTCTCGCTGCTAGGACCGGGGAAGTGGGGAGGAGGGACACAAAGTCCTGGGGAGAGATCCAGGGTCACCGGAATTTCTCCCAAGCTGGGGGAGCCTGGTGACCAATTTCGACTTTTCTTGACAGTCAATGTCATGGCGCTAATGTTAGCTGTTCAGAAAGTGATAAGCGCAGGATCCTGCCCCCTCCTCAACCCCAAACCCTGTCTCCCCGCGCCCCTGGAGAGACCCTTGTCGACCCCATCGGTTTCTGCGCCCCTGGAGTGTGAAGTTTTCCCTGCCCCCCCCCCCCCGCGCCTGATACCCGCGCCCCTGGAGTGTCCAGGGACCCTTACCGCCTCCCTCCGGTTCCCGCACCTCGGACTGACCTGCCGTACCCTCTCCCGGTTCCCGCACCCCTCCACGGCCTGGGAGTCTTGAACCATCGAAATTTATATGGCTTTCAGCTTGGATTTAAACTTTTTAAAAGCACGCTGAAAAAGTTAATGACAAACCACGATGAGTTATTGCTGGGCGAGTTTCTAAAGCATATGTTACATATGTGCCTAGGAGACATGCCACCTTAATGCACGTAAGTGAAAAAGCTCATTCCAATGTGTAATTGAATACCTTTAAGCATTCATCATTGGGCGGGCGGTTGTTTTGGTCTAAATTCCATCTCCAGCCTGGCAACAGCCCGTCATATGTCTCGGCACAGTGACTCCGCGCCGATATCTCCACATGACAGAATCGGCCACCTGGCCAACAGAGCTGTGCGTCGGACAGCAACAGCAACGCACGCACAGACGTGCCAGCCGCCGTTCGCACGCCATGATCGGTGCGTAGGCTTGCCCAGCGCGAACGCTGTGCCGTCAGTTCTCCAGCTCACGCCTGTTGTGCCCCGCCGAGCGTGTACCGATTCCAGGGCAGTGTCGGGTTCATGAGCTCTGGAGTAGCAAATGAGCGCCGGCAAAGCATCGACATCGGCGGTGTTCCCCGGCCGTGCTCTGTGGGTTATGTAGGCATCCTCTAACTGGGTAGTTCAGCATTTTTGAAATGTTATGACGTCATTCTGATGTGTCACGTGTACTGTGGACCTCCGAGTTGTGCGCTGTAAACTAAATACATGTGCACATGTCGTGCGTGGCTTCTGACAGTGAACACGAATGACGCTCAGGCGGCACGTTAGGCCTGTCTACTCGGGCGGAAACCACTGTCGTTAGTGACGGAGGTCCGATTACTACGCAGACGTGATCCTGGACTGCGCCTTGGGGCCAGGCACGGCATCATTCGGCCTCCGCAGATGTGATCCTGAACTGCGCCTTGGGGCCAGGCACGGCGTCACTGGGCCTCCGTTTGTGAGTGAACAGACGTACACATCTCGACACAGGCTGAGTTGTGCCAAACATGTTGGGACTTCAGCGGCCCGGCTCAACTGGGACAGAAACGCTTTTGACGGAGATTTGACGTTTGCAACCCCGATCGCACCGTCGATCTTCAGGACAAGTAGCAAAGCATTATGACACAGATTGGTGAGCTGTGCCATATTATTTTCTGTGCAGTGTAATGCACGTTATTTTAAGAGGCGTTTCCTCTTGGCAGCGTTGCAGGATCAGCACCATTTCCCCTTCCCACTCAAATTTCATGGAGTGTAATATGATTACGTCGTCAAGGACTTAAAGAACATAGCAGCCGGGTCCAGATTTTCGTAGCAGGGCGTCGCCGCGAGATCAAACTAACATGTTTTGACGGAAGAAAAAACGGACAATCACGTGGGGAAGTGTGAGCTGATGCGTGCAGACGACCACGCGCCCTCATACGTAGTCGATGGATCCGCCCTTTTGCAGACGCACTTAAGGGTTATTAAAATATCGCCACCAATAAAATCGCCAATAAAATAATATAATAAAAAATATAAAATAATAAGGGTTATAAAATATCGCAGAGAACACGTCAAACCAACCGCACGGTGCAGCCAGTGTACCAGCCACAACTCACTGACGGCTCCCAAAACTATCCGACCGACAGGCATGGGCGTAGGAACAGAGAGGGGCGCAGGTGGGCTCTGCGCCTCCCACTTTTCAAGGGGTGGGGGCAACAGTGTTAACTGCCGCCCCCCCCCCCCCAACTTTTCAGGTTAAGGTTGTGCATAGCTTACTTTTGCACCAAATTTAAATATACATGCTGGTTTACCGAGTTCACCAGCCATCTTCCTCAAGGCGCGTCGTCTTTTCCGTTTGCTTATTGACCATTGCTTAGTATCACAGCTGCAGGCAGACGCCCCGCGGCCTATGGAGACTGTAACGCCGGGCGTTCAGGCTGCGGTTGCTGTAACTGAAGACTGTGACTGATCTCTGAAGAAGAAAAAACAGAAAAACCTGGAACTGGAGCCCGTGTGACAATTATTGGACCACCTTTGGCGATCAGGGACGTTCTTGCGTCAATGAGGGTTCCTGTGCTGATCCGGGGCCAACTGCGTAGGGTCAGAGGGCCTCCCGTGTGAGGGAGGGGAGCAATGCGATATGATATATCCTTCCAATGGCCAGCGGATCGCCAGGAGATCCCACCCCGTATCGTAAAATGACACCCAGAAGACGCTTTGCGATGGGACGGAGTGAACCTTCAGCTCTTGACCGGAACCGGTAATGTGCCCTTAGTGTCCTACTCGAGTGGCCCCTTGCCCGAAGGAAATGAGGGGCCTCGTTATTGTTGAGTAGAGTGGAAGTCTCATTATTGCTGAATAGAGTAGGTCGAAATGAATTTTTAAAGAAACGAACAAGGCCATCCCATGTTTGCATCAGAACGCTTATTTTTCAGAATGCATTAGTGAAAAAGTGCAGCAAATATTTGAACGTGC